ACAATTTATCAGACATTGTACAGAGTATTCTTTCACTTCACTCATGCAGTAGTTCTCTCACACACCTCTAGAGAAATAAACAACAAGCTCTTTGCGCCCTGCGATAATTGTAGCTAAGAATTAGCTTTATAATTACACAAATTTAACTAAAATAAGTATTTTTTTTCCTTTGCATAAAGTGTCACTATAACACCAAGATCAATTTTTTTTACTGTTTCAACTTTGCAACATTTCCATGTGCACGGTGTGAACTGATGTCTTGGGTGAACATTGGGCTTGGGCTTTCCTCGACATCAATAAAGAGTGAAGCACCATGGGAATAAAATAAAACAGACTGTGCCACACTTTTTTCCTACTCTTAGATCTACTGTTAGTGATCACCACCTTTCTACAACCCTTGGTGTGCTCTGCTGCTGCACGACTGAATTTGTTCTCTTATCCTGACATTTTGATCGCCTGGTGTTGAGTCACAATGATCGTGTCAAAAACATCTAAATCTACAGCTATCTCCTTTTGCTATTTCCACCACAGCCGTGTTAACTTCTGTCTGTTTGTGACACTAAAAAAAGAGCAAATGTCAAACTTCAGCGGCTCCGCTCTTACAAATTTAATTTTCCTGCCAGAAAAGAAGAGCAAATCAGATGGATGGCAGACTGATAACACATATTTATTCATCTGCACTAAAATTCAGCATCGTATTTGAAAGGGAATTAAGCTGCACGTAAGTGTGTGTGTGTGTGTGTGTGTGTCTGTGTGTTATATTTCCGCTATCAGAGGGAGCAGCTGCTTCTATCAGCCTCTCCAGAAGGGCCTGCTGTTCAGCCATCTGGGTAACTCCTGGCCTCAAATCAGTCTAATCTTCACACACGCAATAAAACATGCTCAAGTAAAGAAAAAATATAAACAACTCCAGCACACTAAAGCAGAAACTAAGAGGGAAAAAAAATCTGTGCATGACCTTGAATCCTTGGGAACTTAAAAGCAGTGGGGAAAATAATCTCCAGTGTGACTCTTGGTCTGATAACGATGATAATCTTATAAACAAGTGTCTAAAACAGCAGCCGATAAAGACGGCAACAGGGATATCTGCACTAGAGTTTGATCAGATGGGATTTGTCGGGAAGGACGCTATTTTGAGTATAAATTCACAATATACCACGAAGTATATGTGCCGCTCTGCCTGACTGAATTAAATTTTCATCAGCTAAAAGTGGCTGCTAAAGCCTGGGAGCTGGTTCACAGTTGTTAAGCACAGCGGAGCACTGACCCGGAAACAGAGTTTGTGTGCTTTTCATCTCCAAGCCAGGTGACTCAGTATGATTAACACTGAACCGATGTGGGTTATTTTTCAGGCGGACTATGCAGGAGCTGAGCAGCGGTGTGTTGTGCATATCAACGACAACATCTACAGCAAATAGTAAAGATAACGTTTCCATTTGGGTAATTATTTAATGGCTGCTTTACAATAAAGAACAACGATTAAAAACCCCCCAAAGATTTCGTTTACCAAAGCAGTTACTGGGTGGCTGAATGGATAAGAGAGATAAGATATTCCCTGTTATCGCTTGTTTTGAGACACCTTGTTCACTACGTAATCGCCTCTTTAATCACACGTCAGTCCTTATCACGGCCGAGGCGTGGTCCACGTTTGATGAGTTCAATGTCAGAGGAGAAGGCAGCAGTGAGTGACACTTCATCTGACAAGTTCAGCTGCTCAAACTCAATTTCTGCTGTTGGGAGATTTCCAGTGTGCTGATTTACATTCCTCTCTGCCTTTGTCATCTTTCACTGCCCCTCTTTGTTTCCTGCTTTTCTCCAATTCTGTTTAAATAGCACGAATGTTTTGTTTCCACTCAAAGGACAATCTGAATGTAGTCAGATAGCACATTTGTCTTGCAAGAGTTTCCTGATTGCATCCTTGCATTTAAATTACATTCTGGCCCAGGAGTGTGAAACCAGCACGTCTTTATAACTCAGTCTTACATGTAATATTACTGAGGTTCATGCACACTCATCTTTGTGTTTTTGTACCTGAGGGAGGTGGTAAGCTTGAGCGGACGAACGCCAGGGGTGGCGAAGCGTAGAGAGTTTCTGTACGTGACCTGCTGCACTGCACGGTTAAAGCTCTCGATGTCGTCTCCTTCCAGCACTAACACAGACTGGCTGGGGTTCACATGAACCTGGAGGGTCAAAAGAGAAGGACGCTCATATTAATTTACATCAAAGCTCCCGGCAGGTATGGACCGTTCATGTTAACCCTTAAACAACAAGTCTATTTTACTCACTAGAACGACAGAGTGGGCACATTTATGACCATTATCCGACCATTGATTTGATAAAAGAACACTTTTTCATCATAATGTCATTAATTGTTTTCAGCAGTTTTCATACAAAAAGGAGTGAGCCCGACTCGTGTCCAGCAGTTGAGCTGTTTTCGTCATCATTTTGGGCATTAAGTATCTGCCTCAGTGCTTTTGCAGCAGTAAATATTCACTGTAAAACAATGTAGGGATGTCAAGTGGAAAATTACAATGAAGTCAAAATGTATAATGTAACAAAAAACAAAAGAAAAGCATTTTCAGGGGTCAGAAATTATCCTTGCAACATCAGTGGTCAGGTTCCTGTAAATAATATGAAAGGTTGCAGGAGAAATAGAAAAATTCATGGTTGGAATTAATATGATAAAAAAAAAGTCACAATGGCACGCAGAGAGTCACGTCCATAAGTATCTGGAGCCTCCTTCACTTGCATCAGCATCCCTTTAGACTTTAGACAATAATGGCTGTAATTCCTAAATGAATGCAGTTCTTTTGTCAAACCACTTGATTTAAAAGTGAAAGTCTGCACTTCAATCACATGCTGATTGTTTGATTTAAACACAATGTAGTGGTGTGCAGAGGCAAAATTACAAAGGAAAAGTGTCATTGTCCAATTACTTATGCAACTAAGTGCAAATATATTGTAGAGCAGCGGTCCCCAACCCCCCGGGCCTCGGACCGGTAAGGGTCCGTGAGCCGTTTGGTACCGGGCCGCGAGAGTAGAGGCTCAGGTGTGAAATGTATGGTTTTGAGGGTTTTTATCGGTTTTCAGCGTTATTTTGTTATCGTTTTTATCGTTAACTCGGTTTTCCTTGGTCTTTTCACGTCTGTTATGAATAAATCTTCTTTTTTTCGGTACCAGTACTAGTTTTATTTTGTTGTATTTATCCGCGACACCTTAAAGGTGTCCTTAAACGGTCCGTGAAAATATTGTCGAGCATAAACCGGCCCGTGGCGCAAAAAAGGTTGGGGACCGCTGTTGTAGAGGACAAAAATCACACTCAGATCTTTGCTTAGGTGTCTGCAAGCTCTGATTTCAGCATCAAAGCAAACAACATGCACATGTGTATGGTTGAGCAGTGGCTTGTTTGTAGAGTTAAGTAGCTACTGTTCCTATGGTTGACATACTACACAAATATCAATGGACCTGGTGCAAAGTATGTTTTTTTCCCACATCTTTCAGCTGCTCCCTTCGGTGTCGCCACAGCGCATCATCTACCTCCATCTTACCTAGCATCCTCCTAATTATTTAAAGCACATGTTGCTGCTTTTTAGTCTTAAAAGCTACAGAATAGAGGAGAAAATGACTGAATTACCAATTCTGCTTTAAAAGCAAAGACCAAAGCATTTAAGGTGGATTTTTTTCTTCATAATATTCATAGTTTCTCACGTGGCCTCTTAGGGAAATTATTTGCCCACCCCTACTTTAGGTCAAAATCATAACTTTGGGCAGTTATTGAACATTTATCTGCTCGCGCATTACAAATGTTTGGTGATGAATGGAGCTACTAAAGCTTAAAAATAAATATGGATTATCCAACCAGCAAATACATGGTTTCAATTCTTATTGTTTTGTTTCATTTTGTCGTTAAACAGCAAAAAAGTTTAGGAGCATTGCTCAGGTGAGCTGTGATGATGTGATGATGTGTCTTCAACCAAGCAAAAAAAAAAAAAGACTTAAGTGTGTGCACATTAAGTGTGGGATGACCTCGTTTGCAACCTTTTTTTCTGCACCGAAGATGCAACCTGCTTAACAAACTAAACACACAAGTGTGAATTATAAAACATGACGTAACACGCTTGAATTTATACAGTATTTTTCTGGACTTACTGAGCACTTAAAGCACAGCCTAAACATATATTCATTTAGAATCACTAATTAACATGTCTTTGGACAGTGGGAGAAGGTTGGACAAAACCAAGTGTCAAACAGTGAGGCTCCAACTGAGTGTTGAACCAGAAACCTTCTAACGATGAGGCGACATTGCTAACCACTCCAATGCCACGCTGTCCAAAACAGGGAATGTTGTAAAGATGGATAAACTGATGTGTTTTTTTCTGTAAATGGTCGATATCCAGATGTTTTCCTCAATAAGTGAACATTTGGGATTTTTATATGAGACACTTTAAGTTTGCAAGGATTTCAGGACTTCAGAAGCCGAAAAAGAGCTGAATTATACTGTATCGTTATTTTGATTTTATTTAAATGCAGGTCTAAAAACTACAGTATTTGTCTTTTATAGAAAAATTAAGATTCATCTTCCACATTTAAGGAATTTTTTTTTACAGTTTACTGTACTGTTATACGATTTGTACTTTCAAGGATAAGGTTGTTTATTTCCATGCAGTGTCTCTGTCATATCCCAGCTGCCCGGCATATAAAGTAACCATGAACCACAAACAACCTCAGCCATCACGGCATCAGACAAAAAAGATTTGGAGAATAAAGCGCGGCATGCTGTAGAAGAGATGTGTTTGAAATGTGGATATTAAGTGACTTTCCCAGACGGGAATAACTGGAGGTGTGTGATCTGGCAGCCTAGAGCTCCCTTAGCTGTTACCTTCATGCCAGAGCCCAAAGTCTCCAGGTCGCCAAAGTCCAGCCCCTCCCTGCATGCGTACAGGCACTCGACCACGCTGTGAGGCTCCACGCTGCCAGGACGCACCGTCACCCCAGACAACAGGCCATGGTAACTGCCAACATACTTCACTAAGGTGTGAACACACATAACATCATCCCATGAAACTTCAACTACACCAGCAATGACACAGCAAAATGGCAGACCGTACACCATCACGCTGACAACAGTGTGAAACAAGAAGGTCACCTGAGTCTTTACCCTCTGGGATGGTGTTGTTTAGTATCTCCTTCTGCTTCTCCTCAGGCTCTGCAGGGAAAGCGGCGCAGCGGGGAGAGAGAGGGGGAAGAGAAAAACAGAAAACAATGAGGCGCTCCAAGAAATACTTTTCAGTCGAGAGGGGCTTGAAGAGCAAGCGAGAGGAAATCTGAGGGTACCAAAGATTGACAGGGAGAATAAAAAAAACACAGGCAGCAAGAAAACTGTTGACAATCTTCAAAAATTGCAGCATCTCCTCATTATCCGGCAGCAGCTGCTGCCACGCAGGAAACGGAGTGACTGTGTGTGTGTTTTTCACTGCTAATTGGCAGCCAGAGCTTCCCATTTTAACCAGCGGCTCGGGTGTAAGTGGCTGATGGCTGTCTGGCCTTCGTGTTGTTCTGCTGCCCTGAATAATTGATAAGTCAGTTATATTATTAGCCCTCAAAGACAAGATGCATCAAGTGAATTATAACTGAGTAAAATGAAGGGGAGAAACGGCGCGGTGTGAAACGTCTCAGAGGCCTGTCTCGAGATGCCTCACGAGGACTCGTAACTTGCCAGAAATTGCATCCTGCTATCTCTGCTGATGTTGGGTTTAAACGACATTTCAAGGATGGAGAAACGGAAACGAGGATTCAAACTGCTGCTCGCAGCTTTCAGACAGGAAGCAAAGCTTTTCTTTGAGCTGAGATGAAACGCGCAGCATGTTAGTCTCACCCCAGCAGGCACCGATGAACATGCGCTGACGCGGGGCGGGGTTCGGGATGGCTCCGTTGTCGTGGATGAGGGCGGGGTCAAAGGTCACTCCATCCACGTAAAGGGTCACTGATGGGAACTGGACGCTGAGTGAAAGATGATGCCACTCGCTGTCACACACCTGTTGGAGGGAGATAACATGGAGTCAGCATGAGTGCATTATCTGGGTGGAATGATTACTCAGACTCTATATTTAAATAAAAGTACCACTACAGCCATGGAAAAATACTGTGAAGCCCTACAACCCTGCAGAGTTTGCATGACTTCTCCTCTCATCAAACAGCTTGGCTCAGGTATTAGCATTAAAATGTATGTGAAACCACACTCTGAAGACAAAAATGTCTCCTATTATTGTTGTAGCTTAGCTGCTACCAGCTACAGCTGCAGCAACCTCAACCCTCATTTTAAGTCATGATTTAGTACAAAAGTTATAAAGAAATTCACCCCTGTACATGCTATGAAGGTAAAGCTGTAAGGTGAAGTTGGGCATGCTAACATGTGTGTGTGGTGTGACTCGTGTTTCGTGCAGTTTCTTCTGGGGGGATTTGGGTTGGTTTTCCTAAATTTTTAAGCCTTGAAGGTTGCCACGGAAATGAGATAAATGAAATTTTCTTTGCCTTTGTGGCTGTTTTTGCCACTTATTAAATACTTGTTAAAATTCAAATCAAAGTTTTGAGGTGAAATTTGCTTTTGGAACTTCTGAAAGTCCAATCAAGTGACAAGTTCCCCTGACAAGACATTTCCTTTTGTAAGCTGCAAGTCAAAATTATAATCCAAATGATTCTACTACTTGAGTATTTATATATATTTATAAATATACTTTCCACCACGGGTGAATTCCTGCAGACATTTGCTGTGATAAACTTTCTTTATCAGTGATGTGTAACCTGAAGGAATACAGCACACAAATGACAGGGGAATTACAAAGGCAGAGGGAGTAGGAAAGAAAGACAGGGTAATAAGATATTGAGGTCCAGACAGGGGGATTTAACAAATCTTCTCTGTATCAGCTCAGCATCCTTTAATCCATGTGACTTCAATCTGTCTGAGACTGGTGGCTTCCGTCAAAACAAACCCCGATCACCCTCCACCACGTACACCAAACCACAGCCTCGCATGCATCCAGGTATACAGGTGTGCCGAAAGACCTCGCTACTTGTATTCATGTATTCTGATGCATGCTGGACTTTTAACCTCACAGGTAGCTTTATGATGAAAGATATAGATTTAGAGCCGAGAAGTATGTTGTGATACATAAAAGGTTCGTGCAGCGACACAAACATCTTCATGTACTCGGCTGAGACTGCGCGTTTCACCGCGGTGCTGAAGATGCGGTGTGATCAGAACAGAAAATGAGTTCCATTTTGTTCCATTTCCTTTTTACTGGGAACGGACTGCACAAAATAGTCCGAACAGAAATTGATTTTGTAAATACGGATGACGCACAGATCCTCTTCATGCATGAAACATTTAAATGATCTCGTTAGAGAAAGCCCGGGAGATGAAAGAAAAAGCCTTTTATCTAGATAAACAATAGGGTTGTCATTTCACTCGCTCTGCATATATCCTCATCTGTAAAATAGCTAAATTTCCAACGACATAAAAAGACAAAAAGACAAAAAGACATAAAAAGTAACGACTGAATTTTCTTCTATTTCAGCTTAATTTCGAGCTTGAGAAACAGAAGAAACTGTGCAACCGACAGCATCGAAGCTGAGCGTTGCACTTCCCTTCAGTTACCTGCTCCAGTTTCCACAAGAACTTGACGGGGCGAGCGGCTGAGACGTCGGGCCAGTAGAAGAGGGAGAGGCGGCAGCCGTGGACGGAGAGGGAGTAATGGGAGAAGGAGTCATCTGTGGAGCGGGAGAGCAGAAAAACAGAAGATAATTGGCGCAGGCCTGTCAGAACTTCTTAAAATCATCCAGCGTTTCTTTGGGAGAATAAAGAAGAAATGGGAAGAATTACTGGTTTGCTGTGGTGTGGATTCACCAGCCGGTGGAGCGGCCAGTGATTCTGACAGTAGACGGTGCTTCATAATATGGATGTGGTGGCAAATAAGCTGTATTCTAATACATGGAATCTGTATGCACATCCTCAACATGGTAGCACAGAAGATTTACAGTTGGGGCAATCATTTGTTGGTCAAATACCCAGTTTCTGTAGTTTTCCCTCTGCACAGTGGATTATAAATCAATCAAGATGTGATTAAAGTGCAAACTTCCAGCTTTAATTAAAGGGATTTTGCAAGAATTTGCATTAAGTGGTGTTGGATGAAAATCCTTTGCAGTCTAGAAGCCATGGACATCACCAAATGCTGCATTTCCTCCCTTGAGATGTTCGGCCAGATTTGGTTGTTGCTGTTTGTGGGTCTTTCTGCCTTTTGCTTTCAGTTGTTACAGTCTCTGGGTCTAAGAATCAAACTTTTGAGTTTTGTGTCTTTTTTTTAGATCATTTCCTGATTTGTTTCTCCGTATTTATGTTCCCAGGTTTAGGTTTCGCATTTAATTCTGTTCTTGGTTTCAGTTTCTTTTCTTGCCTCCCTTATGTTTCTGTGTCTGGTCTAATCCAGCCTCTGTGTTTTGTCTTGTATCCCTTTGTGTCGAGTTAGTTATAATTCCTCAGTGTTTATCCCTTTGTTCTTGGTTTCTGTTCTGATTTAAAGTTTGTTGTTTTCTGTCCTGTCATGTTTTATCGGCCTCGTCTGTGTTCCCTGTGCTTTGTCGAGTTTTCCTCTGCGATTCAGTGTGTAGTATTTTCCCGTTTTATTTTGTTAGTCCTTGGTCTCCTGTGCCCTGTGTCTAGCTTTACTTCCCGTGTCTCGTTATCCATGATTTGTTCCTGTTGTGTCTCCCACCTGTTTACCCCTCACCTAAATGCCTTGTGTTTAAATTGTCCGTGTCTTCCTCCTGGTCCTTTGTCACATCCTTTTGTGATATCCCATTTTGTGATTCTGAAAAGCATTTAGAGTTCACGTTTGCCTCTCGAGTCCTTCATACTGGGTCCAAAACCTGCCTCCTGCACAGTATTAGGTGACATCAGCAAATCCAAAACATACTCTGATGACAAATATCAACTCATTGATATTCTTCAATGAATTGGTCATTGATGAACATAACATTTCTTTGCTTTGAGAAACTCTTTATTTGCTTTGACTCATTATCCATTTGCACTGTGAAGTGCTGTCTGATTAGTTTTGCAGTCTGAATCTAAACGTGTACACTTGATAATTCATCCTGCTACTTCTATCTGTGGCCACATCATCAATAAACACTAGCTGCCATGGATGCCCAGGCCGTAACATAGCCTCCACCATGTTTAACAGATGATGCTTCTGTTTTACCGTCATTCTACTACAAGTTCATCTTGGTGTAATCTGGCCAAATTTTCTTTTCAGGCTCTTTTACATGTTTTCTGGGAAAGTCTCACCTGGCCTTCGCGTTCTTTTACCAGTGGTTTGCAGCTTGTATTTACATTAATGAAGGTTTCTCTTGGTTGTGGAGTTTTCATGGCTTGGTTGTTCTCCTTAACCATGAAAAAAAAAATACTGTCATCATCCACTTTCATTGGCTTCTGTGGTGTTTCATAACGTGTCAAATTGTCGATTTAAACACTCCTACGGCTTATTTAATCTCTCTGATTTATTTTGGCTTTTCAGCCCAGTGATGGCCTCCCTCCCTCGTACTGATATGTCTTTGGGTCTCATATTTTTAAAAAATACAGTAAAAAGCCATAAAATACAAGGTAAATGCTTTGAATCAACTTCAGATATTATGTCTGCTTCATTTATTATGAAATAACAGGTGAACAGGCCTCACCTAGCCGTGAAAACGCTCATCGGTCAATTATCCAATGATTTTAGAGCCTCTGAAAACAGGGCACTGTGTGTAAACATGGCTGTAAAGAGTTAATGTAATACTTTTGTTAAACCCCTTGAATTTAAGCTGAAGGTCTTCGCTTTATTTGTCATATATGTACATAGAGTCTTTGTCCAACCTATTATGGCTCTAACTGTATGGAATAATTAGCATATTAATTCTTGAGTAAAACACAAACACATTTATTGAACTTGTTTAAGAACAGACAAAAAAATGTATAATTTCATCTTTGAGTCAAAGTGAATCTTTGTGCCAAATTCCCTCAAACACTGCTAAGACATCACGCTCACGAGAATGGGACACACGGACAGGCGGACGAGGTGAAAAGAAAAAGGACCAGCCAGCTACTGCTGCTGGTGCAGACGCACGACGTGAGTCCACCATGTTTTTCTCACCTGTGAATTTTATCAAAAAGGAAAGCTTGCTGAAAACTGCACCCATACAAAGTCACACAGCTGAAAATATTCACATTACCCATAATATTGTTCCTGGCACAATTACAGTATTTTACTCTTCTTCTGTTTTCCACTTGGCTGCACAAGCAGAGCAGCTGGAGGTTAAGTGCCTCTCTCAAGAGCACCTTGATAGTAGCTTTAAACAGTTTTTTTTCAGGGCATGATTTTCCCCGAAGCTCACGTGATAAAATGGTACCCTCTAAGGGTTTAGATGACTGAGGAGTGGATAGAAAAGTGAAGAAGCAAAACCATTTATAACCACAACATCACTCGCAGTCCCAAAGGCTAAATTAATGTGCGAGGGACAGCGCTTACCATTCCTGACGGTGCTGCAGACAATAGTCTCCTCCTCCTTGCGATTTCCTCTGGTTTGCGTGGTCGCAGGCTGGATGTTGGCACCACCTCTGCGCATCCACAGCTGGAGGGTGAAGTGGTCGCCGGATAGTGCGGACACAACCGAATCGGGCACGACAGCGACGTGGTTGGAGCCGTTGAAGGAGAAGATCAGAGATGAGTCGGAAGACGGGAGAGTGGGCAGCGCTGAAGTCCAGTTAGCGGCAGGAGATGGAGGTGGGAGCAGGTCGACTTCGCCCCTGACAGCACCTGATACAAAAAAGAGAGGTGATAGAAATAACGGATCTGATGTCAAAAGGTTAACATGTTTTCAGTCATAAGCCTGAACCCACCACACAGACGTCGCACAGATCTGTCGGAGTAGCTGTCTCTGTCACAGCCTTTCCCGATGTGGCCGGTCTGGAGCTCTACGGTGGCCTGGATGTTCCACACGGTCTCTTCACAGGTCTCCAAATGCAGGCTGGGGAACAGAGGGATGCTGCCTGACCCAGGGGTGTACTCTACACGCTTGGTCCATCCTGAAAAAAAAGTATCAATACCCGCTTCACCTTTAACATCTGAGCCCTTCTGACCTTTTCTACACTCCTTCAACATCAAACGCAGACGACTCAGACATTAAATGTCTCGAACCATCGACTTCCCCTAGCACAAGGTATGCCTGGTGTCTGATTGCGGCCATGTGAGAATTACCATGGGTAATTTGTGGAGTGATTTCCCAGCGAGGGAGTGGGCGTCATGTCTCGGCTAAACCACGATAGTGAGAATAAATATGATGCAAACATTCCCCTGCTGTGTGATACATGTGAGAGAAGGCAACCTCAGACAATATCCCAACTTGATTCTCCAGTTTTTCCCAGAGTTCATGTCTGAAAACTGCTTTGGAGTTAACTACCCTTATCTTTAAAAAATGTCAAAGCCGACTGACTCCAGCATGCTAAAAAGGGGAAAGTGTGTTAAATTTATACAGCCCATCTATCCCTAACGTCCTCCTTCACTACATCCATGAACCTCCTCTGTGGACTTCCCCTTTTAAACAGGAAATCTACTGTCTGAAAAAGCACGTAACATTGCTGTAGTCGTATGTGTGATCTAAAAATATACTGTCACAGTTTAACTATGCAGTTACCTTCCCTTGATATTACTAAGATTCAACACCGCCTCTTTAAAACACAGTTCTTTTGATCTAAACATGCAAAGGTGATTCATCCAAGTGGCAGCCCACACACTTTCTAAATCAAAGTGAAAGTTTCATCCCCCCCCATCACCACAAAAAAAGGAAAATATTAAACAACTAAAGCGCACGTATGTGTAAAGTCTCATCGGCCTTGTTCTGGGATCAGAAAAAGAGAAGTGCGTGTGAAAAATTACCGATCCAGCCGGGTTTGCAGGACGGCTTGACCGTGACAACAACCTGAGCGTCAGCCTGAGCGCGGTTCTTTCCACAGTCGAAGGCTGTCACCCAGAAGGTGTGAACGCGCTGCCGCTTTGAATCCAACGGCTCTGTGTTCTTAATGTTTCCTAGGAGACACAGAAAAATAATGAAACAAAAAATAAACCGGGGAAAAAAATAGAACATTAGTCACCCAACCACAAGGTTGTTGCATAACTGAAGCTCGGGTCAAATAAAGACCCATTGATAAAACCGGCACATTCCCAACAGCAGAGCCACTGCCCTGTTAAACGCGTCATGCTCGGTGATATGAAAGCGAGGACAGATTGCACACAACAGGATAAAAAACTGAAGGGTTTTCCTGTTTTTAGAGATAAAGATGAATAAACAGCGAGTATCCGTGATAGGCTGACAGCACTCAGCATGCCAGCTGACAAACAATGCTAAGGAAAGAAGATGGTGTGACATGGTGAGAGGGAAAAACAGAGGGATGAAAGAGACAGAGGTAGAAACAGGAGCAGAATAGACAAATTGAAACAGAAAATAGACAATAAACAGCCCACAGCGTTTGAGCAAAGCTGGAACAAAAGGTTGCTGTGCTGTTGTATCAGTCTGACCCCTAAAGAAAGGAACCGCTCATCCTCGGCAAAGCCCTCCAAGTCTGGGACATTTCTGCACAGTCATACCAAAACAGGGTCCTTCTCAGTTGCTGTGACACTCTGTTAAACAGCTGCACTTGATCCCAAACCAACCAGTCAAAGGATTCAGCCTAAAGCTCCAATATTCATTCATTTTCAAGGTTTTCATTGTTGTTCTAAACAGATTGTTTGGAGCTTTAAATCAAACAGAGACGAGAGACAGCACACAACACGCATTCGACCGCAGGGCAGAAGATATAGATGTGAAGGAGAACGTGCTCTTTGTGGGATCATTTTACATGTAAATGTGACCAAAATCACAAGACAGCTGTTGTTTTCATCTTATTTTTTTAAATTTATGTGTATAGTGATTTTATCGGAGGACCTCATGGTTATAAAATCAAGATTTTAGCAGTGCAGAGTGGCAACATATGGCTTGTTAACAATGTAGTCTTAATAGGCCACATTTGTGTCACTTTTCACAGTCTTTTCACAAACTAACAGCAGAAAGAGGAAAAGTATGTGGATGAGATCAGCTTAATGTGAATTAATCTGTATTAAAACACACTATATGTGAGCACAGAAGAAACAAACAGATGTGACCGATGGCAATGAAGCACAACAACCCAAACCCAGCTCTCGCTTTTTGGCCAAATCTGTGCTAAAGTTTGCACGCCTTCTCACGTCATCCCTCCGCATTACAGCTTGGACATAGCGATGGAGCATAATTAGGTCCCACGCCTGAGGAGGAAAAACATCTAATGGCTCTCTTAGGTTTGTTTTGCGTGAAGGTGCCTCCTCGTCGATTCTGTCTGCTGGCAAAAACTGATAAATGTGTAAATGCTTCTGTGCAGCGGGACGGTCTACCAACAAGATAAAAAATATATTTTTAATAAGCTGTCAAACCAAAAACACGAGCCTTGCTCTGTGGAGACCAAAGTTCATAACGCTGGCAATAATACATGGGGCATCAACACCAAGAATGAGGAACGCTTTGGGACTCTGTTACTCAAAATGCCTACACCAGCAACAACACAGCAGCTTGTTAACATATAAATAACCTTCACAGGGTAGTCAAATAATCCTAATATAACTATAATTTCCAGCTACAAAAAGGCACTTTGTCAGGATTCAAACCTCCAGTTAGTGAGTATGGTTTGTGCTCTGCGTTCTTATGAATCAAAGCTAAAGGTAACATCAGCCATATTTACTGCACAGCCTACCAAGGAAAACAAATCAGTGCCTCCAACCCAACTCCCTAAAAATCAGCTCTTTCTTTTTTGTATAAGAGTTTTAGTTTATTTAATAAAGTCACCTGAAATTTGACCTTTATATTCTGATTACTTTTTAACTTTCAGGCTCTCAGAGCACATATGACAGGGTTGAAATTGTTATTGTTTCCAGCTTTATTTACTTAAAAACGTGCAGGAGGTGGTCACATGACATCCTTGGAGCCTTTAAGCTTCACTAAACCAAATCAGTTTTACACCCAGTTCAAGAAGACAAAAACTAGTTTTTGTTCAGCCATATTTAGGCATCAGTTTCATGTCATAGTTCGAAAAGCAAAACTCCAATTTAACACCAATTTAATGTCTATGACAGAGACCAATAAGCACTGGTACCCTCCATGTTTTTGAAGTGAATTCTGGTCAAAACCAGGACTCATTTTAATCTGCAGTTTGAAAACAGCCTCACGTTCTAGCAGTGATTTATTTGAATTTATGGATAATTAGCGCAACATCAAATATCCACAGGTCGAATTTATCAAATTATTAAATATTCAGTTTAAGCGATGATCAGTTTTGTACGGCAGCAAATTTCTTTTTAATTAATCCAAAAGGTCCATGGGTTTTATTATTTATTTTACAGAACATGTGCCCGCTGTGCCACAATTTGCTTGTTTTTGGTGCTGTCTGGTTTACTAACTATCAAGTTTTACTATTCAAATTAACATTAGGATACACGTCTGTTTATTAGTTTCATCATATTTTTAAGACAATAATTAAAACATGAGAAAGGTATTTTAAAACTCACTGACAAACCCTCATTATACAGCAGCAGTTTGCCCCAAAGTGGCACAACAGCCAAACAAATGATGGCAGAGGGAATTTAAATGCTTCTTCTCCTCTACAGTATTGTCATCTGTATAGAGACGGTTAATTGCTTGTATTGTGTATTTGCTTAAGATGTTATTTTAACAAAAATGCAGAGGAAGTTTATTTAAACAGCTCCTGAGATGACATGTTAGCACTTAGCACTTAGCACAGGGGCCTAAAATGAAAGAAATGGCCAACGTTTTCCATTTGAGATCGTATCAGGATTTGGGCCCACCATCATAGCTTATGCTTTTACTGAGTGTTTCTGATTTTTATAAAATCATTAAATATGAGTTCTTTTTATTAGTGATGCAATTATACAGAAATTACATGTGAAATATAAAAAAAGTGCAATTATATAGTAAACATTACTTTTAGAACAGATTAATATAACTGATCTGAACACTGTTATTGTCTGAGTACAGGATATGGTACACCGAGTAAATAAACTGGACTCAGTATCATTTTCAGCAATACTCAGATCAACAAAGCAATGATTTCATGATACTTGATATAATTCAGTGGTTTGAAAGGTTCAGTAAGGTTGGAAAACTGCAAACTGCTCCTTTAAATCATTGTGATCACACTGCAGTGTTGCATAAACTATTAAACAAAGTGTTTTATGTTTCAGGGAGATGAAGTTATGTTCTGCTGAGAAGCAGCGTTAGATAAGGGCTTCATATTTATAGAAACACAGAAAGGAAAATAAAATGTCTTCTATCTGAAATAAGGGTTTCTCTCTTTCTCCTAATGCGTCCTGTTAAATGTGTTATTTCGTCAGCTGTGTAATGTGTGCTTTTTGTGTCATAAATCTTTTAAATGCTGGCTGAACTACAATAAAAATGTTGGGGTACATTTCTAGGGAGGAAAATCTTACAATCTTACATCTTACTTAAGGATGTTGAATAGCTGTAAATTCAGTGTAATGTGGATTTATGTTGAAAACATATGTATCCCTGATGGTATCATGCACAGGAAATCCACTATAAAACTCAAACTTCACATTTTCAAATCAGTTTAACAGAAAACCTCCAAACTCCCAGGTGACAGATTTGAGAACATTCAAACTCAGTTGTTTTTTAAATCTATCGCATAAAATAATGATCTCAATGTTTATTTCCATTTAAATATTTCCCAAATCATTAGCACTTAAGCTAATGAATGGATGTTGTGGAAACAACTCGATAATTAGGCAAAAATAGTTGATATAAAGAGTACCTGTGATTACTGAATCGCTCTTGTATGGGATCACCTCTGAGGATTTTGTCATCAAAACATATGTAATCCACTGGGACACTGAGTCCTCAGGTGTCTGGAGTACATTACACGTTGGTTAGGAAAAGTTGCTTGAGCGAGGGAATAATAGTTGCGCTTATTCATAATTTAAGGGGAAAGGTCTTTTGACTGCTGAGCACTGTGCTTATCTCTTTTTGACATCAAACAGGGCAGTAAATTTTGAGGCTCAGTTCCTGATCTCTGCAGAAAGAAAAGAAGCAAGCAAGCGGTCTTTCTTCACAGTTTTGGGGTTATACAAACCCAAATATACTCAAAAATACAATTAAATAAATAGGTGGATTTTGCACAATAAGCCCCCTTTAAGCCGAACAGCTGTTGCGATGTTGATGCAGAGACAGAACAATCGTCCGCCCACACAAAGTCTATTTTAACATCTTTCGGTTTCTACCTGAGAGGAGAAGAATCATAAGTGCCTGCAAATCTTTTCACTCTGTCGCTATGCAGCAGCGTCTGGTGTGTATGTTCTTCATGTATTGAGGACATCCGGAGTTTAGCAGCTGAATACTGATCCGAATATTGAATTTTGTTATTCTATTTGAAACCACGGTCACCCAAGAAAGAGAGAAAATAAGGAAATAATATGGTGACTGGCAGGCATATTGTATTTTTCTTGGAATCAAAGGGGAAATATGGATTAGTCTATGAGGCTCTAATTTGCAAAATGAGATTCATCTCACCATCGTTGTCAATAGCAAAGGGCACATTGGGAGTGATGATGTCATAGAAGCAAATCTGGCTGTACTGCGGGGAGCAGTCGGCATCCAGAGCCTCCACGCGTACGATTCGGTCAAACAGACGCCCTTCTGGGACAGAGGCCTCGTAGCGACGCTCAACAAACACGGGGGAAAACTCGTTGACGTCGTTCACGCGAACGTGCACGGTGGCCCTGAGGAAAGCAGGAGCGGGAAGACAAACAAGTAGGGAGATTACTGGAACAACAGAAAGCAGTACTGGATGCACAGTTTTTACAATGCATAGCTAGAAGAGCCTCAAACACTGACTTTGATTATTGCTGAAAGGATTAAAAATCTGTCTAAATTAGGGGGGGTGGGGGTCTAACTTGTGGGATTTCTTGCTGTTGACTCCATCAGGTCCCTCTCCGCAGTCGTAGGCCTGGATGGTGAAGCTGTGCTCCCGCTGGCTCTCACAGTCCAGCGGCTCCTTGGACCGAACCAGACCCTCACCGGTGGAGCGGTCTAGGACCACAGCTTCAAACTGGACCGAACTGGATCCCGAGGGGCCATTATGGACCCGGAAGCCACAAATTTCACCTGGGTGAGGGAAAGGGGGGCGGTGACAGATAGTAGAATCAATGATTTATTTATTAAATTCTTCATTAAAAAGAAAAAAGCATTGTCTGAATTGGGAACTCTACACTAATGCGAGGTTACATAACTAAACAGAGCGGCTTTGCATTGGCTTAGCTTTGATTGATAAGCATTGATTGGTTAAGCTTTACTCATTATCTTTAAAGTACTCCACGCTGTGACTCCATCATACGTTTCTAAGTGTTTGTGAACTATATTCCTCCACAGTACACCTGAGATCCCGCAGCACAGCTCTGCTGCAAATCCCCTGGTCCGGTCTAGACTAAAAATGAAGGCGATCGTGGCGTCTCTGTTCTCTGAAAAAAAGCTTCACCGTTCAAATGTATCTTCCCAGCTTTGAATCTCTGCTAAAAACTGTGCACATCTTCTTCAATCAAACAGTTATTTTAATGTTTTCAGCAGCAAAAATTCAATTTAATCAACCCACTGTCAAGTTTAAATAAGTTATACTGCATAAATTAGGACAAACAGATCACACGTGATCCACAGTGGGAAGGGAAATGTCCCACAGTGCTACATTATTGAACCAACTGTGACAATTTATTGTAATATTCAGCAGATTGTAGGTCACATCATCCATCCTTACACCAGAAATGTGCCGATAACTATCTAGATATTGCTTTAAGTGGCACTTTATCTCACGCTGGGAGTCATGATCAGAATAGAATGAAACAGATTGCAGCTGCGACTCAAAATGAAGCGGATCTTCCCTGGCTGACATAAGTCGAAGGTTCATGCGCAAACAGCTAATTTCCTCTTCATTCTTGACATGGGTCCAATAAATTTCAGGGAGCCCCTGAGTAATTTAAGTTGATCTTTTATAATTTGACTGAACATAGTTATTTCCAGGTCTGCAAGTGCAAACACGATAACCTCATTTCATCAGGCTGCAGAGCGCCGCTGACTGCTCCTGCAACGAAGGGTTGAATTACACTATGATGGTCTAAAAATAGTGGACTCTGTGACTGAATGCATTGCTTTTAATATAGGGACGGTCTGTTGGGAAATATGGCTGGAAATGGAAGCAGTCTGACATCTCGAAGTGAAAAATGAGCACTCGTGTTTACTAGTAAAAGTTCAAGTACGTAAACTGACATAAATAAACCTCAAACTGGCCTCAGAGCTGCAGCATCAATCTGTTCATAAAATTAAAGTCACATCATTTCCAATTTGACCCAGTGAGATGATTTCGGTCCGGCTACTCAAGCAGATGATTTGACCTATTTTACCGCAGGCTTCACATCAAAAATGTTCGCATCAACTTAATGCTCTTCCATGCTTCTTATTGCAGTTGGTGTTACCAGCGTAGTGAAGTGGAGCATCTTTGTCGAGGGCAAAGAGAGGGGGATTGAGCAGCACGGTGTTGTCGTTCTCCATGACAATCCCCTGGTACTCTGTCTCGATCCATGGCTTGTGCTTATTGGCTAAACGGCACAGAGAGGAGGCTTTGGGTTAAATGGAGCAATTAGAAGGAACCAATGCATCTATTTTTAACTCTTCATTATGGGTGAGGACATGGTGAGAGTGTGCACGAGTGGGAAAAATACACGATGGATGTGAGACAGTCTGAGCACGTTCACAATCTCACAGTTCGCCCCCCAACCCCCTTGTTTCTTCTCCATCATGGACCACCTGCCCTTGTTCATGTCAAGCACCACTCTGCACACCTTCCTGTCTGACAGTGTAATTAAAGCCAGTCAGATTTCTCCCTATCACACACACACAGAAATATACTTCTCATATCAATCACCTAAACTGACCTGCCACAGGCGCCTCACAAAAAAAAAAAAACAGAGTCAGAATCAAATGCCTCAGGTTTACTCTGAATTTAACCTTTAATTGCAAATTAATTATTCATCCTGGTGCTGAATGTTCTGTGCTGAGTGATCAAAGGGCGAGTTAATGAGCCAGAAGGATGATGATTTTACACTCCAGCAAAGAGCAAAAACAAAAGCCGGAGTGCCCTCCCTCTGTTGTCCTCAATCTCTTAACACAGAGTCTGAAATCAGACACAGGCAGACTTTTGTTGGCAATCACTTTGTTGTCTTCACAGTGAGTTTTCTCCATAAAGTCTGACTAGAACTAATTTTGCTGTCTCGTCTGAGAGAGGAAAGGGAACAGAGGAAAAATGCTCCTGGTTCTGAATCTGATCGCACCGCTCTCCCTTCAGAGACGGCGCCGGGGTGTCGTGTGAAAGTTTTCTGATTCTTCACAACACAAGACGCTTTTTATTGTCGAACTAGCTTAAGAACATTGGAGGAGGTATTTCCATTTTACTTGCTATTACACTTTTTTAAAAAAGCACGCCGTAATGTATTTTTCATTTAAGCCTGTCACGCTCCGTCGCTGTATCTGAAAATGAGCTCGGACTCACCAGCTATAATGGGCTTTCTGTTAAAACTGAATTTGCTTATGAGGTTTTGTTGTGCTTTAATGAAACTGCATGCAAAGACGTGACTAAAAACAGACTATTTTTAAAAAGATATGCCCGTTTCTGTCAAACCCCTTCATCTTTGGGTGTGACATTATGCTGCTTTGTCTTGAGTGTTTTTGCAGTTAAGTGGTTAATAATTAATCCACATATCAAGAAATTAATCAAGAAATTAGGCAGATTGTGTGACAATGAAAGTATTATTAATTGCAGCGATAGCTACATATACTTTAATAGAAGGGTTTTTTTTATTTATTTATTTTTACATTTTCACAAATGTCCAAATTATATATGCATGCTTTCATTATTTAATATGACATAAAAGAAAAATTACTGAGCAAAAAAGAAGTAAGGAGCACAAATGTGAGCGTGCCAGACAGTTTGTAACACCAACTGGTTCAAACCAATTTTAGCTGGCACTAAACACATACTGAGGTTTAATACCCAGCCCTAATCAAAGACATTCATCCTCTCCTCCTCCTCTGTTTCCATGGTCCTCTGGTGTGTGTCTCTTTTTTGGTCATTTATCTCCTGCCCTCTGTCCCCTCTGCTGATCCCCCCTCCCTCCCCTCCCCTGCCCTGCCCTGCCCTGCTATAGCATTAATCTGAGCATCAGGCCTGTGGATTACATCCCGGATTACAGATTGAGAGGCAGCTCACTCCATCTCTCTTCCTTCTCCGTGTCCCCTGGCACTCCTCCCCTCTCTGTCACTCTATCGCTCCACAACATTTACCCACCCCTCCTCACCCACACACAGAAATAGCCCAGTATCTCACACTTTTCCTCTTCTCTTTTCCCTCGTGTCACCTGATCTCACGTACCACCTCTCTACACCCCCCACTTATCAGCATGGATCTTTTCGGCACGTCCTCTCCTGTCACAGCTCCTTCTCCTCTTTCTCTCCTAACACCCCCCTCCCACCCCACCTCCCCATCTCTCTGACACTCCATCTCCTTCAATCTCCTCATCTTCCCTGCGTTTCCACTCCTCTACCTTCTTCTCCTCTGACATTCTCCCTCCGCCCGTTTCATCCCCCTTTCCTTCAACACGATAATCACAGGAACAATGATGCTGAAGCAGAGTCATGCTTCTCCAGAATGATAAATCTGCTATAGGCGGGGGAACAGATTTATAATTTTCTCAGAGTCACACCACAGGCGACACAGACACACCGGGTCATGAACATGTATGAGGGCTCAGACGTGCTGCTGAACGAGCGAGGCGTCGAAGCTGTAAATAAAGGAACAGTTCGGGCCAAAACAGCCACGGTCCTGCCTCAAAACCATCATCTCAATACTTCACAATTAACAGTCAAAAGGATGAGGAACTGACCTTTGTTGCCAATGGCAACCGAAGTCAAGCAAAGGAGGAGGAAGGAGAGAAAATTCATTCTGTCCATCTGAGGGAGCAAAGGAAAAAAAAAGGAGGGGGGAGAGGGGCAACAGGGTGGGGGTGAGGAGAGAGGGGGAGGAATACAGTACATGCATCAACAACTGATCAGCAGTGAGAGGAGACAGGAACAGTAACAAGACAGAGAGACAGATCAGGCCTATCAGCTGGTGCTGCCTGTGTGTGCGCAAAAACATCACTGTGCAAGAGTCACGTATGTAAGACCTACACAGCAAAAAAAAAAAAAAAGAGGCTACACAAGGAGGAACATGAACGATCGAGAAGCTGTTCACCATCACGAGAGTGGCGTGGTTTCAGCTCGAGAGCCCAGGATAGCCTGTGGATCACATGCATACCTGCTCAGGAGTGTGTGTCAGGAGAAAAGGTGGCATGTGTGTGTGTGGCAGTGTGGGTGTTTTCCCAGGTTTTCATTGTGGATTGTTGGAGCTGAAAACCCCTCAAGGACTCATTCTTCAGATGTGGCTGCAGCTGCATTTCCCCCCCCTAACCTAACCTGATATAAGAAACCTCTATTATGTTTTCACCTTCACTGCTGCAGTCCTCGAAAAGCTACAGGACAGCACAGATTAAACCAAAAAAAAAAAAAAGAAGGAGGCGGAAATATATCACAGAAGAGTCCATCTGGTCACAGGTTGTTCAAGGCTAGACACACAAACACACACATTCAGGAGCAGAAACATGCGACTATGCGACAATTTGCAGCCGATTTATATCACAGCCTGCCTGCACTGACACACATTACTACACAGCTCCGGGTACATGGCTGCCGATAGCCGTGTTCAGACATCGCATCGGGAACCCGAGAAGGCTGAATGTCGCAGAAATGAAGGTCTGCTTGAGCAGAAACTTGCAGGTCTGACATTACCGTGCTGAGTGCGGTGATGCTCCTGGTTGGTACCCTGCCTCTACGCTCGCAGCATCCGCCTCTCACGCCCCTGCCGCTCGGCACAGCACGGCAATCCCCCCGCAGGCTGCAAACGACCCAGTCCTCCAGGTGGAGACGCACACAGGCGGATGTTCTCAACAACCCAAGACCCGGACAGGAGGGTTTATCTCCCAGGCTGTGTGATGAGATGCGAGGAGGATGAAGACACCGACGGATGCCCTTGTTTTTTTTTTTCTTTTTTCGGCTCTACGGAGGAGGAACGGGACCAAAAAAAAGACGGTAGGAATATTACGCTGACGTCCCCTCCCTCTCGGCGTTTCTTAACCCGCCCACACTGCGTCCTTCTCCCTCTCCATCTCTCTCTCTCCGGCCCCCACCAGCTCCGTACCAGACTGCTGCTCTGGCTGTTTTTTGCTGTTGAACGCACATTGAGAGTGACTCAGACCTCAACACAGCAATCCATCTCATCACGTTTATCCCCCCCCCTCCAACAAATAAAAATAAACTCCAGCAGTAGCATCATGGTTAGATGAGTAACACACGAGCTGCCCCATAGGTTTTTTTTTTTCTGTTAAGATTTATTTTCGGATCATTAGTTTTGCCACACAAACCTCCCATGTCCACACTGCAAAATGACGTCATGTCACCCCCCTTTTGCCCCTGTAAGGCACATGAAAGCACAAACATATGAACTACAGCCAGAGGTTGAAAGCAGCATTTTATTTAACATTACAAAAAAATAATAATAATTACCCTCCCCATCTCCTTTGCCACATACATTTTTTTTGTTCCTTTCTACATCTTTTAGGAGTAAGGCATGAAGAAGTCTCTTGGAATAGCAGTTCACATCAATTAATAATCACTGTGTCATGTATAAATATTACCAAAAATCTGGGCTGTCGTTACAGCGAGGTTCGTCCTCTCCATGGGTGTGCGTGTGTGTGTGCACCGGCCTCAGAGGCAGAGGCCTTTCTCCAGCAATGCATGGATCAGACATAACAGCCCCCCCACCCCTTAGAATAAAGGAGGCTTAGTAGCCAGGACTGTCCCCCCCAAAAAAAACCCACCATTTTATTAGTTTGCTTCCAGTTCAAAAAAAGAAAATTGCACCCCCCTCTTAAAAAAAAAAAAAAAAAAAAAAGCCTGTTTCTCCCCCTTTTCATATAAAATCAGAACACCAAAAGAAGCAAAACAATTAACTGTAGTGACTGTAGGGCTGTTCACTTTCACAACTGTGCATTTTCAGAGTCGAGGGGCTTGAATCGAGGCAGACAGAAAGACAGATTGGCGTAAACAGAACAGAGGGAGAAGAGGAGATGTGGCGAGAAGAAAACCATCACTGAGGAAAGGCTGGAGAACAATGCAAATCGTTTCATTAAATCTTATCCAAAGCTACAAAAAAGTTCATTTTCAGAAAACATGTTAACTTTATAAAATTCAATTTTTTACCCCCGCCCCCAATAACAAATCAAATTAAATCCAGAACAAATGTACTGTAAAAACATTCATTAATACAAGGCCATTTAGAGTTGGGTGTTAGTGTACAGTGTGTGATTTAGAGTGCTTGTATAACCACTGGCAGCCATTTAGGAAGAAGAAGCCCTGATGATGATGATTACCATCCATCTTCTTGTACATGTCGTAGCACAACATCAGAAAGTGCCACATGTGTGCTCACACTTCCTGCTCAATGTGGACGTGAAATAAAGAATGCATTTATTAAATTTAAAAAAAAAAAAAAAAAAAAAAAAAAAAAAAAAAGAGCCAAAAACAGACTCTGAACCCATGACTTGTGAGCGTGTGCAGTTCTGTGTCGACAGCAAACGAGTCCCACGTGGTGAAATTTTAAAAAGAAAAGACAAAAAACAGGAAATTGCTCCTGACTGGCTCACAATTAAACCCCTGTGGCACAATGGTAATTTCCTGTAAACATCTCTCCAAATGTTTATAAAAACACCCTCCCCGCCTGAAACACAAAAATATATAGAAATTTATTTATTTTTTTTCTTTTCAAACATGGACATATATTACTAAAAGGCCTTAAAATATTTTCCGTTCTGCTCCTTGGAAGTCGCAGTTCCCTTAAGTGAGTATTCAGTCTCAACGATGGATGGACCTGAAGGAAACAGACATGTTAAAAACCAATCCACGCACAACTGAAATGTCTTTATTTGCTTAGCAAAGCTGCTCAAGTTTGCTTACCACGCCAAGTTTTAGTATCAAGTCTTATTCCTGCTTCTTCTCTCTCCCCTCGTTTTTAGGCACCAGCGCCTTACGGAGGTATGGCATTATTAAATATGCTACTAGGAAGAATAGGTGACCACAGAAATAAACAGAAGAATACACCTGAGGGGGGAAAGAGAAAGAAGACGGAACAGTCAAATCACAACCTGCACGTGCAACTCTCAGTTTCTCTCTGCTGAAACCTGCCTGGCTGCTTTCCAGCTCTCAGACCATCTGTGTAACCCACTTAGCCACTCCATTTCCTAAATAAATGCTTTTTTTGTGCTCTGTTGCTGACTGTTCCTTATAAATCTCCTTTAAGGCAGTACAGAAAAGAAAGACGAAAATTCAATCCCATCAGTCTTTTCAGTGGCTTTTCTTTTCATCGACGCAGCGGGAGTAAAAACAAAACAAAACAAAAAACAACACACAACAAACACCCACCACCACCACACACACACGGTTGTCTGGCAAGAATAGTAACTTGAAACTTTTTGCTGTAACACAATGTGACAACACCGAAAAAGTGCCAATCGTTGCATCATGAATAGCTGCAGTTTTTTAGCACCCGATAAGCCTTCAAGTTTAAACTTCACCGCCTCCGGTTCTCCTCTAGTCTGAGGTGCTTTGTATGTTGCACAAAAAAAGATGCGAAATGGCACAAACAAAAATCGTGTTTGTGTTCCTCACAAATGACCTTCCCGGGGTCGAGTTCACAAAAGAGCTTTCAGTGCAGTACTTAAGGTTTTGTTATTGGCTGCTGCTGAAACGCTGCAGAAAAATTAAACAGACACAGACGTGGTCAGGTTTTCCGCCATCGGGGCAGCACAGCGGTATGTCACAAACAGCAACTTTGTAAACACAGCAACTAGACTATCATAAATCCAAAGATCACTGCACACTAAAAAAATAGCAGCCTTTGTGGCTCAAAGTGTGTATTAAGCATTTAATATTAAGATAATATTGCACATGTTCATACACGGCATGCTTTAAGGGACTGATGTGGTTGAACTTTAGTCCTACACAGAACTTTGAATACCCTCATCTAAATGTTGTAGCTGTGTACCGTCACCAGGGGGCAGTGTCAAACACACATGGACTGTCTGTTGAGACTACTGTCCTCTGATCAGGAGCTAAGCTAAGGGACCCACAACAGCACAAACACAGTGAAGTGAAACAGTGTTTCAGATAATGAACACCGCTCCCTGCAGCTGCTCATCCTGCTTTTCTGATCTTTGATCATTTTTGCCACTCCCTTTCCTTTGTGGACAACTATGCTCTCTAAATCAGCATTCTACCATCGAGGGTTTTTTGTTTGTTATTTTTTTGAGGACAGCATGTGAGCACATCTATATTTGATAGCTTGACTTTGCATAGCCAAATACAAACACCCGTAGCACAGCCACCACAGGTGGGACGCAGAATCGCTGCAGGTGGGGTGTGGACAAATATGAAAAATAATGAGTGGAACTAATTTGAATAAATGATTTTTTGTGCCTAAGGGAAAGGAAACAAAAGTTCACTCGTGATATTATGATCATTATACTCATATGCTATTATTTTTTATTGATAGGATTCATAAAACTGTGGTTCTGTCACAAATATCTGTGGGTGTGAATGGAGAATATTCTTATCTTAACTGAGGGCTTGATAAAAAGAGTTTGAGAATCACTGATCCACGGACACAAATGTGGCACCACAAATCCACTGAAGTAGGATTGAAAGACCGAAGGTAGGGTTGGGTTCACATCTACACCTTTACAGGGAATTTTCACCTATTCAGCACAGTTAAATTCCAAATTGTATTAAAAGAGAATTGACTTGAAAAATAACATGTTATAGTTGAAACTTCCTGTTCAGTGTGCGGCTAAAATGCATGAAATGCTGCCCTAAGTCAATGGTCAGGGGTTCCTTTCAAAGAGAAGTGAAAGAAGGAACCAAGAGGACTGACTTCTGAATTTACCTTGAGCCATTTGTCATAACTGAAGATGGAGAATGCCACTAGAGGATACCCCATGAAGAGCCAGTGGATAAACTGCTGGACTACATAGATGAGTGGGTAGAGTGCACTGTTGGCCAGCTTTGTCAGCACAGGACTGTCCCTTACTAGTGCCTGGGCCTGTCACACAAACACACACAGGTTACATCAAGATAGAAGAATGAATCTATAACCTTAAGTCACAATTATTCTCATTAGTAATGTGCATTTAATCAACAGTAGCAGACTATTGTAGATTCAATAAGAGCATCACCACTCCGTTTATAACAGAGCTAATGCCACAGTTGTAATCAATAGACATTAAATGCAACACTCTTAGTTTATACAGAGCACAATCACTACTTTCTGAGTAAAACGTGCAGCTCGAGTTACAGGGTGCAGAGCTGGGACTGAGTAACTGACCTGTCGCTCCACGGTGATGATGAAGAACTCCATGGAGAAGCACAGGATGTACCCGGAGTGAAGGCCGTGCCAAATCGATAAAAAGAAGAGCGTGGCCACATGAGATAAAGTCTTATTGCCCAGGAACTTCAACCGCTTGAACACATGTCTTTGTAAAGAGGAAGGAAGAGGAAAAAACAATAATAAAATGAGCTGGCTGCATCCACAACCACAAATTAAACAACAATTTGTGAATATTCATCCACTTTCCACAAATTGGACACACAGGTTCATGGTTTCTACCACATTACCAACTACTTCGCTCACTTTAGTTAATTCATTTCGACTCATTTTATGACACAGCACTTTATTTTCAAAAGATGACAGACACACACACACTCTCTCTCTCTCTCTTAATTACTTTTTTCTGTCTTTGAGTTACATATCTGCTGCTCCAGTCATTCCCCGTTAGACGAAAGAGGAGTCTGAGGGTGTGCTGGTTAAAATAGATCTATACAGGTGGATAAAACCACCTGCTGATCTACTGGGATTTTACCACAAAAATCCTCTATGATGGCAGTTCCCAAACTCTGGGCCACAGAGTGGTACTGGTTCTGCAGCAACTATGATGCTAACATGTCAAAATGGACCAAAAATCTCTGAGAAATGTTTCCAGCACCCTCTTGAATCTATACCAAAGTCTAAAAGGGGATGACACCATGGTAGTAGAGTAGAGGTGTACCTAATAATGACTGCTGGTTGAGCTCTCCCTTTTTTCTTTAAAATTCAAGTTCCTG